GGCCATTCCCCTTCCTTTACCTCGCGCACCCGGCGCGCTCCTGGGTTCGTGTGCGCGCGCAGCCTTACCCAGCACACGCCGTGGAACACTGCGGGAGCGCGAGCGGGGCCCGAGTGCCTTGCGGCGGGCGCTGGGAAGGAGGTTTTTCGTAGCGTCCTGACCTAGACGAGCGGCCCGCTGACCCACACCTACGGCCGTCCTGCCCGCAGTCTCTGCGTCCGTGTTGGCCCGACCTTCCGTCCCTCCCGGTGCCGGCGGCGACGCTGAGCTCCCCCTTGTCAAACTGGACTAATCTTTAATCATCCGACGTTTACAGTGGTCCCCCCAGGGACTGTGGCACCAGGCGCGACGTGTCAGGAGCCAGGCTTGTAGTTCCTCCAATAAACCAAAAAAAAGCCCTTCGGTAGAATAATCTCAAACCAGAATTTAAGTGAATCCTGAATTACTGTATTTTTTGCAAATCCTGATTTTTTTTTTTTTTTGGCGTGGAGGGGTGGTGGTAAGGAGAAGATAGTCTTGAACTGCAGTGAGTTTAGTATCGTATTATGGTTAAGTATGCTCCAAAAAAAAAAAGGCTGGTTTTTTAATACATGTTGCAGTTCTTTCTCTCCCCGCCCCATCCTCCCAATCTATTCCTTGTTTCCCAGGTTTTCTTTATGTCTTTTTCCTAATTCCAAATATGAATGAGTATACTTTTTTCAATGATTTAAATCCAGAAAACATTTATTAAGGGCTTACTACGTGCCAGGCACTGTGCTAAGCGCTGAGGATAGAAAGAAGCAGAAGAAAAATCATTTTTAAGCATATGTACACTGTAGAAAGTATTTTACAGTAATATTTGATCATCTGCTTGTGATGTTAGCATCTCCCTTCTGACAGAAAATGCCCTTTGAGCTGTCTTAATGTAATCTGTTGAGTCATTTTGCACCTGTAAATGGTGCAGCAGCAGGAGCTCAAAAAAGTCTGTAGACTCAAATGCCTATTTGCCTGTTTTAATAAGGTTTGAGGTATAAATGTTCTCAGCACATTTAAGAAAGTCCATTGCCAATTTGACCCTGAATTTCCAAAGGAGCTGAGATATATTATCATGGCTTGAAAACTTTTATTTTTCATAGTTTGGAGGTGAAATCATTCATGCAGAAAATGCAGACTCAAAATGGGGAAAAAAGTGAGAGAGCTGCCAAGAGTGTGATATATTTAGTTCTAATACTAAACGTGACTGCTGAAAAAGGATGGTTAAGGTTAGGGGCAGTCACATCCTGAACCACCTGAAAAAGGTGAATTTTGTTTTTCTCTTTATCTAAAATAGTATTTATGAGAAAATATAAAAATAAAATATTGAAAAATATATACTGACCTACATCAGTGAAGGGAGTCTTCACATAGGGGGCTCCCTACACTGATTTAATCACAGGTCCAGATTAAAAAAAAATAGCATCCATACTTAGGGGCTGGAGCTATGCAAAGTTCATAGATTGGAAAGAGAATTGGACTAGGAGTCAGAAGACCTATAGTCCTGACTGCCATTTCTTAGTTTTGCTAGCTTGGAACTTAATCTCAGTTTCCTCATTTATAAAAGGGGAAAAATAATATCTGCCTCACCTACTTAACAGGGTTGTTGTTAGTATCTAGTGGGACAATTTATGTAGAAGTGTCTTGAAAAGTTAAAATGCTGTGCAAATATAAGGTATTATAGTGGAAGGAAACTTTTCCATAGCATCTCAGTTAAAGCCAAATATATGACTTCAGGGTGATAAGTTTTCATAATTCACTTTTTTTTTCTTTTTTTAGTGAGGCA